ATGACAAGAAGAACCAATAGTCACTCTTTTAGAATAAAATTACATTGATTTTTCAGCCCAATTATTTCAGTAAATACATAACTAGTCCTGTCATAAATGTCGTTACAAGGAAATATACACAGATTTCAATAGAAAAATTAATTTTTTCAAAAACTTTTATTAGAAAATGAAATATATATCTATAGAGAGTAAAATGAAAAAAAAAATTACTCAATATGTCACCCTTTTGCCTTGACACAGGCATTTAATCTCCTTGGTCAGTTATCAATAGCAGCATGCGGCACTTCTTGAGGGAAGGGCTCAACTGCTTTGACCAGAGGTTGTTTGAGGCTTTCCAAGTTAGGGTGTGCTCTGTGGCATGCCATCCTCTCCAGTTTGGACCAAAGCCGATAATCTAGTGAGTTGAGATCAGGGCTTCCTGAGGGTCAATCTTAGGCAGAGATGAACTCTGGAATGTTCTTTTGCAGCTACTGCTGAGTTTACATGGCCTTGTGAGCTGGAGCGGAATATCCAATGACTTCCAGCAACCAGAGTATCATTTATAAGCTTGACAACAGGTTCCAAAATATCGTCCTGGTAGTTTTTAGCGGCTGTTTTAATTCCTTTTTCACAAAAATAGAGCTTTGTGGTGCCATCAAAGCAAACTCCCCACCGAACCATCACTGAGGAAGGGTGATAACCTCTTTCCACTATTCCAATGACTTCCTTGGCTTCTTTAGAGCTGTTTGCGTACACATTTTGGGGATTAAATTTTTCTTCAATTGTAAAATATTCTGATCACTAAACAAAATCTTATAATGAAGACCTTTAGTGTAACGGCTAAGGAACACTTTGCATCTATTCACTATAATTTTTTGGGGGGAAGTGGTTAGCCTTTGTCCTCTCATTCTTCAAAATGCACCCATCCTAAGGACACTTTTTATTATGCGAGACATTGATCTCACAGAGATTCCCATTTCCCAAGAAATGATTTGTTGTTTTCGAATTGGATTTCTTCTGATTTGAGCAGCCACTGCTCTTACTGCATTTGCTGTTCTCACAGTGCGAGAACCGCTCTAGGTCTGTCAAAAACAGATCGGGTCTCATTATATATATTTATAGTGCGGTACACGAACATACGGCTGATAGGTTTCAAAGTGTTGAAAATCTCTGACCTACATTTTCCAACTTTGTGTTAGGCGATCACAGCTATTCAATTTTCTTTATCACCTCACTCCAAATTAACTGAGCGAAAGAAAAATACAAAATAATTGGGATTATTATCCTGACATGTAAATAAAATAACCTGATAGAGGTAAGGATTATCTAAATAATACCCAAGGATGTAAACAAAGTTCAACTTTTGTAGAAGTATTTATGGCAGAACTAGGTAGCACGATTTTTAATTAGAAATCGCTGTAGGAAAAATAGTTCAACTTCATGTATTTGGAGAAGTAAATTCAATTTCTGTAATATTTAAGCTTAAAAAAATTAATTAATAGTAAAAAGGAGTGAAAACAGTTGCAGTCTAAAAAGTATTAATGTTATTCGCTGTTGAAGTCATGAAAACAGGTAAGTTCTATTTTTTTATGGTAGTTAATAAGTGACATAGATGTTTTCAGTTTTTAAAATTAAGATATGTGAAAACTAAAGGCTAATAATAACACTAAAAATTAATAGTAAAGGCGATAACAGTAGAAAATAAAATAAGATATATCAGTAGAGAGACTTATAAACATTTTTAATAGTAGGAGTTTTTAAAGCATTTATGACTCAAGAAATGATTTTGATGTTGAATGGTTAGATGATTTACTTCTTAAAAATAATGTATGATTATTATCTGCCATATATACGTATCGTAAAAATTAAATTTGTTTCAGAAATTTTGAATAATTGTAATAATTAGGATTCTGAGTTTCAAGGATTTATTCCTTCTTTTTTTTCTGTTTAAGGGAAAACTAAGATCTATGCCAATTTTGAACAGTAAATTTTAAATACAAAATCCTATAGAATCTTTCTCGCAATTTTCCAACCAAACAAATTTCTTTTGTAATTATGGACAAAAGAAGATCTTTCCTGGAGTCTTCATTCAGAGTTTGATTTAATTGAATATATTAACGAATTATTATGGATACTTTTATGCTTAAATATCTAGTTTTATCAATTTAATGAAGAAAAAAAAAATAAAAATCTCATAATATATTGATATTGGTCTAGAAAGAATTGGTAAGTAATATCAAAGAAAAGAAAAGAGAACACCTGCATTTTGCCAGTGTCTCTCTGCCAAACAACAACTTCCAACATGGTAAGAACTATTCCTGGGTTTTTCCCACTGGAGCCAGAAACCCTTCTCCTATCCTCTCTTCACTGCCACCAAACACCAACTACTTGCCAAAACAAAAACCTTTGTCCCTCTCCTCTTTGGGATTTTCTTTATGGGAAACTAGAGAGCAGCCATTTTCTTTTCCCCGCACTAGTAGGACTAGATTAGCTTGAATTTTAACTGTTCAACATTAATTTATTAAACCCTTTTTAGTCACTTTCAATAAAGATTTACATTACAATATATATATATATATATATATATATATATATATATATATATATATATATTTAATTTGTTTTCAACTATTTTCTTTTCATGTTTCTTTAATTTTTTGTGAATCTTACTCGATTAAAATTAGATTGTAACTTATAATTATTTTTTATTATGTTCATTTGTTTACTGAGTAATTATGTTTATCTATCTCTGAGGCTCAAAAGCCCACATTTCTGTATTTGTTATTATTCTAAAGGGACTCGTACTAGAATAAATAAAGTATTATTATTAATGGTAAGAATAAAAATTGTGTTCCTACCTGCATTCAAAATATCTCAAATCATACGTTTTAAATTTATGTGTATTTTTTTTTTCTGTACGATCTATGATTGAAGTTAACATGTTGTTATGTTGTATGTTTTTATCAGTTATTATTATTGTAGAGTATTTCAGACATCATAATAAAATGGTCTTATGGCTGTAATTTTTTTCAATGCATTAAACCTGTTAGGTCTGGCTAAATTTGGAAGCAACGTAGGTCCTTCCTCCACAACTAATGAGTCTCCAAACTCCTTATAGAGCTTTTGATACAAGCTTTACAGCCTTGCAAAGAACATTGATTTCCAAAGACAGCTGAAAACATCGTCGAGAACGGCAACACCCTCGAGAGACTGAGAATCAATGTTTGATCAGAACTCTACCTCCTCACAGAGAATGATTTCCTTCAACTAGTCAATGAAGAAAACTACTCATACTAGAAAGCTTTTATCTATTTTTATTATTAAAAATTATCAGTGGGCACAGTTGTAGATGAAGATAGAACTCTGGAGATGACCAAGAATAAAGAACAGTAGTCCATAACTTGTATAATGATTGATATAATGCATACCTTGTTTACTTCAGTCAGATTTTATTGTTCTTACTATTAATGTACTACTAACAATGCACCATCAATGTAATACTAACATATTCCAAAACTTTGTTTTAATTTTAGATGATCTGTTTATATTAGATGTATGAAGAACTGAAATAAATGAAAAACGCATTATTATGTTCATTATATCAAGATCTAACCGCTTAATTTGACAACAATGAATTTAAAATCTTTGAATTCAATTTTTTCACTGGTTAAAATTTGAGTTATCTAATTATTACATTGATTGTGCCATTTTATGTATCTACTGAATTTAAGTAAATAAATAAACTTAAAAAAATTAATTAAAGACAACCATTTTTGGCATATGTTTCTTCAATATGATATATAACTAAATTCCTGTTGCCAAGAGGGAAGGAAGATACAAAAAAATATATGGAATATAATTTTTATTTGAATAAATGAATAGTTTATAAGAAGATAAAAAATGATCAAATTAGAATGAAACGTAGTAGAAATTAACTTCAATTTTGCAATATTATTTATAAACTAAACTTATTAAATCAACTGAAAGATAATCTTACAACGCTCTGTTCACTAACATTTATTTGGCAGGAACAGAAGTAAAGAAAGGTAACACAGAATTTCTAATAGATTATATTGCTTTTAACTTTTATTCACACTATCATTTTCTTCAAAGTTTAAGGTTTAGCTTATTTCTATTAACATCTTAGGAAAATATTCATTGGGACAATACTTACAATGCTACAATACTAAATGCTATAATAATAATAATATAATAATGCTATAATACTTACAATCTTACAATGCTCTGTTCACTGACACTCTGTTATTTGGCAAGAACAGAAGCAAAGAAAGGTAACACAGAATTTCTAATAGATTATATTGCTTTTAACTTTTATTCACACTACCATTCTCTTCAAAGTTTAAGGTTTAGCTTATTTCTATTAACATCTTAGAAAAATGTTCATTGGGACAATAATACATAGTAATAATAATTTATTAGACTATAATGTACAATATAATACATGTATATATATTATAATTCTTAACACATAATATATAATAATAATGTATGGCAATAAACAAAAAGAATAATTTTATTTTTTCCAGGTTGAACAGTTCTCTTAAACAGATTATATTGCTTTTAACTTTTATTCACACTACCATTCTCTTCAAAGTTTAAGGTTTAGCTTATTTCTATTAACATCTTAGAAAAATGTTCATTGGGACAATAATACATAGTAATAATAATTTATTAGACTATAATGTACAATATAATACATGTATATATATTATAATTCTTAACACATAATATATAATAATAATGTATGGCAATAAACAAAAAGAATAATTTTATTTTTTCCAGGTTGAACAGTTCTCCGTTGCAGTTGAGAAGTTATGATATTACTACCATCGATTACAGTGTTACAATCTTAACACGTGGCTCTTCGAATGTTCTTAGTGATCTCAGAAGTCTAAACCTGCGACGATCATCATAGAATAAAGAAAGCTGAATATGCAGCCACAGCCACTAGCACATGGAGAAGACACAAATTTATGCACTGAATTGTTTCCAGTCACAATATGTCAGCTTTGAAAGTTGTTTATCTGTAAATAAAATTGTAATAGTTACTTTACTGTGTTATAAATTAAGTCTGTTTTTAATTTTAATTGTACTTTGTTTAATATTTCAATATATTGTAAATAAAACCCTATTACTACACATATTATCTGTTTGGCTAAGATGGTTAATAAAATATTTGTTTCCTTATCTTTCAATTATTACTTTACTCCTTGATAATCCCTTTTTATCTTGATATGGCTTGAAACATTTGTGGAACTTTTTAAAACCACCATTGTCCCATAAAAGTTCTTAGTAAAAGATACATTACATGAGAAATTAACTGTAATTTGCTTAGATTACTAATATAATATATCTTAATAAAATTTGAATAGCTAAGAATGCACAATTATCATTTTTAGATTCACTTGTCTGTTAAATGAATTATTTTCACTTAAGCTTCAAGCGGAAGCACTATAAAACTTTTAATTGAAATGTTCTAGCCATGAAATGATCTAGCACTGAAGAAAACACATTAAAATCTTCAAGCCCTGCTTCTTACACTGTTTTCAGAATAATTAGGTGCACTGGTAAAATATCCTGAGGTGTTATTTCAACCAAATCTAGTGACAGATTCATATCATACACAATTTGAGAACTAATACTCTTTAAGGAGAAGAAATTTTGTGAAAAATGTTTACTTCTGATTGCCTTCCAGCAATTTAATAGCGTTAAATGGTTTTGGGGAGTGAATTTATCAAAAAAAGTTCATTTAACAACAAATGTTCTTGTTATAGTCCATAAAACTGCAGTATTTACACATAATCATGATTAATTAACATTTCTGAAATAACTTTTCACTTACTGCGATAAAATAATGTTGAATTATAGTTTTAAACAAAATATAAACAAGGTAACTTATATCTCTGAAAATATATCCTTCAATAGACTTCTTGGAAGAAAATTTATACACAAATATACCGCCAGATATCATAAATAAATCAATTAACGTCTTATTTCACACTTTAGATACGTAAAAATCGCATTTTTGGAATAAAATAACTTATTTTTCTCATTTCCGAGTAAATAACTCCTCTAATGGTCAAAAGAGAGCAGCACATCTGGAGAAACGCGAAAATGTTGTTTAGTTTCGGTATTTGCCGCTAGGTAGCAGCATCTCCCGGGACACGAAAATATATAAAGGTAATAGTTATAGCTGTTGCCGCTAGAGCGCAGCACCTACCGGTACACAATTTTATTTTCCCAGTTGAGGTAGTAGTTGTTATAAATGCCGCAAGAGTGCAGCACCTCCCGGGACATGAAATAATAGTTATTCTAACTGCCGCTAGATAGCAGCACAACCAAGACTCCTGGTCGACTCGAATAGTGAGCTCCTTCGACCTCCTAATGTCCTGATACAAATCGACAAGTTTCTGGCTCGAAATTTAAATAAAAATAGTAGTTCTTGCGTTCTGTCAATAGATAGCAGCACCATCGGTATCAGTGAGCTCCTGTTAGTTCCTACAGTCCTAATACAATTCCGAAATTTTACGTAAGAATCGCCAGGGACCAGAGGGATCTTCGCTAAAAGTGAGCTCTTCTTTGTTCCTGCTCTCCTGGTACAAAATAAAGATTTTCAACCCCGAATTGCCTTCCGCATTCTTCAAATTTCTTGGAAATTCATTCTTTTAATACCGTTTTCGATTTCTTTAATACCGTTGTCTCTTTCAGCTTATTTAGCTGTCTTTTTTCGTTTTAACCATCTGAATTTAGAAAATATCAATAATTAATGCCATTTTTGTTCCTTTTTCTATTTTTTTGCTCAGATTAATAAGTAAATAAGTTGTTTTCTAAATAAATGGACATATTACAAATTCCTTATTCCTTAATACTTACATATCACTTATTTAGCTGTATTTTTTCGTTTTAACGATCTGAATTTAAGAAAATATGTTATAATTGATGCCATTTTTGTTCCTTTTTCTATTTTTTTGCTCAGATTAATAAATAAATACGTCGTTTTCTAAATAAATGGCTATGTTTCAAATTCCTTATTCCTTAATACTTACATATCACTTATTTAGCTGTATTTTTTCGTTTTAACGATCTGAATTTATAAAATATCAATAATTAATGCCATTTTCGTTCCTTCTTCTATTTCTTTGCTCAGATTAATAAATAAATAAGTTGTTTTCTAAATAAATGGGTATGTTACAAATTCCTCATTCCTTAATACTTACTTAGCTGATTTTTTTCGTTTTAACGATCTGAATTTAAGAAAATATGTAATAATTAATGGTATTTTTGTTTCTTTTTCTATTTCTTCGCTTAGACTTATAAATAAATTCGTTATTTTCTAAAATAATGAACATGTCATGAAATTTCTTACTTATTCAAAATACATCCTTAGTATCTTGTTTATTAATCATGAAATAAATTATATTTAAGTGAGAATCTTCACGTTTTGAAGCAGAAAAGATACAAGTGTAAGCCTTTATGTCTAAGAATGAAAATAGTTTTAATTTAAACTTGAAAATTAGTTGCATCTTAAAAAAAAAAATGATTTTTAATACCGAATTGATGAGTAATTAAATAAATTTAACTCATTTCACTTCTTTTAGAGTTTATATCAAAATATAATCTCTTGAAACATATTGGTTAATTTTGAATATGAACTGAATGAAATATATTGATTTTTAATGTAATGCGAATATTTTTAATGTAATAAAATAAGTTATAAATGTAGCAATAAATCTTGAATAAAGAAAGGCTTTATTTATATGTAAATCATTCCAATATCAGTACAGATTCCCACTTAACTTGCTTAAATTCCATTGATTGTTATGAAATGTATAATAACTGACCAGGCAAACTTACCATATTAAAAAAATTAATATTTTTCAAGTCAAATCACTTAAAAATATTTTTGTCATCTATTAATATTTCAAACTCTTTTTAAATTGCAATATATTTTCCGAAACTTAAACATTACAAATAAACTTGAATAAATTAAGTCAGATCTCGAGGACTAAGTCAAATCGACACAATTGAATGAAAATTGAACTATCTTTTCAATAAATTCAATCAATGTATAAAAATGGACTTATGAGGAAAAGGTGATTATAACAAATAAATGTATAAATAAAATAGTTTATTTCAACGCAATGTTCATGTGTAACACATATCTATAACATAATTTGGTATCACTCATTTTTACAATTAAACAACAAAAAAATACAAATATGTATACATTTCACATTTTCCAAGAAGTAATCATGTATTTATTCATTCTGGAACTTAACATATTAAAAAAACGAATATTTTCAAGTTATATTTCATAAAGATATTCATCATCTATTATTACTAGAAATATTTATTAGTATATCATACTCTTTCTTAAACTTAAACATTGCTTGCTTCTCGTATAAATTATACCAAATATCGATGATACATCACACTACAGTCTACAAAAAAGAAATCACTTGAGGTATAAAAATAGGATGAAGTAGAGGTAATTTCAAAAAATAAATAAAAAAATAAAATAATTTATTTCAAAACAATGCACATTTTCGGTATTACATATCTAAAAAAAAAAAAAAAAAAAATGAATTCACTCATTATTTACAATAATACAAACAAAAAATACAATAACAAATATTTTATAATAAATTCATATATACAATATAAATTACTTCATAATTAAAAAAAAAGTATGAAATTTACATTAATTTTACCGTGTATCACTTTTAATTGTACCATTTAAAAAAACAAAATTCAACATTACAAATATATTTAAACAAAAATATTCAATATAATGAATTGTTACAAAATTTAAATTAATAAATGTTATTTTAAGAGTTTGTGAACATTAAAGGCCTCTGGATGGTCTTGCTCCATTTCGGTCTTCAGAATACTCGCCAATCTTGGAAGCATACTTGATAACTTCAGCGACGTAGTTTTGTTCATGAGAGCAATGGAAGAGATGTGCGTAGGGTCCTGTAAAAAAAAAAAAAAAATCAGATATTTAAATTATATATCTTAAGGAATATAATAATTACTAAATTGTATGATATATAAAATATTAATATTTTTTATTATTATATAAAATGTTCATATTGTCATTCTATTGCAGAAAGTGATGAAATAACATTTAATAAAATTAAAATAGCAAAGTAATTAATTTTGAGACATAGTAGTAAGATTTGTATTATTTTGATGCACTTAACCGGTTTTTGGATAAATAAATACGATCAAAATACATTAAAATAAACATAAAAGCCAAACTACTAACCAAAGTATAATTTTAGTAGCCTTTTTGCAATTAATTGACAATATATATTTTAATTTTTATTCAAATTTATTAGAAACCCGTATATTAAATATAACTCAGGTCATCTGGCATTTCAAATAGCACCATATATTTTATTATATATGAATATATTGAATAAAATATATTTTTCATCATATATTTTATTATATATAATTCCTGGTTGACGTTAAGGAGCAATACTCACCCTCTTAAGAACATTCTTTACTTTTTATTGTAAATTACTGAAGATGTATCATCTTTTAAGTCAATCAAATAAAATGTATACCATAATATGTACATGATAAGCGATAACAACCTGTACCTAACACACTTTGTCAGTTATAGGGTTGTTTTAATCGCACAAAGAATGCTGGGTATGGGCTGTTATGCATTTTAATGTAAATATTACGACATAAATTTTATTTGTTTGACTTTAAATGTTCTGAAGATGGGTAGAGTTACATCGATGTCAACCAGCAGTTATGAAATGAAAAAATAATTTTATTCTGGGACTACTGTCCCCTAAGAATAATAACAGAGTTACAAATTTATGTATCTTAGTCTGACATAATACAAATACCAACTGATATATTGTTAATTGTTATTTCAATTGTGCAATGGATTGAAATTAAACATTGTATAGATGTAAGTAATTTTACATGTTAGGGGAAGTTTGAATGTGGAGTAGGTGTTGGAACAGGAGTTGTTTGAAGGAATTTGTGGACGAGGATTGACGCATGGAGGTAGGAAGTGAGTTCCATAAGGAAGCAGCACGAATGACGAAGGATTTGCTGAAGGAGGAAGTTTTATGGGAGGGAATATATAAGTCTATAGGTTGAGACCTAGTATTGAGAGAGTGGATAGAGGAGCGCAGAGTAAGGAGTTCCAGGATGTAGGGAGGGTTTTTGGTTCTGAAGACTTGGAAAAGGAAAACGCCAAGGAGGAATTGTTGTCGGGAAGTAGGATAAAGCCACTTCAACTCGGTGTACCATAGTGAAACATGTGAACGCCTAGGGATCTCAATGTTATACGAATGAAATATATGATGAAAAAAATGGATACTGTTTGAAATGCCAAATGAACTTAGATGTATAATATTATACATAAAATCACCTGTTGCGTAGACAAAAACATCATTTCCGCCATGTGACTCCATATCAAGCAATACAGCAGCCTGAGCTCCGTATTCGTAGGAAGTTGTATCAACTTTTGAGGGATCCTCGCGGGAGACTTTCCCATCGACGACTTCGTAGTGGTAATTACCTTTACCACCGTTGGCATATCCAAGAGTGGTGTATCCTAGCCCATCAATTGGTGATGTTCCAGCCAAACCTTGAAAATGAAAACATAACATTCTAGTTATATCTTTTAGTTTCAGTGTCATTATTTTATTAAAGTTTTATAAAATATTATGCCAAATGTACACAGTTTTTTACATCCTGTATTATTTACTCGACGTTTCGGCTTCAGAAGCCATTTTCAAGATCCTGCAAACTAATTTTAATTCAGTTGTAATACATCCTTATAAAACACATGTTAATTTAACAACAATCAGTTATATAAGTAGTCCAAATTCTATTTTATAATTTTTTTTTTAATATAACAGCATTTTGTTTAAAATTAATGTAAAATTTTTATCATCTACCTACCATGCACCGCTTCATAAAATTTCCTTAAATGTATCAATATAATATAATTCGTCTTTTTGTCATTCTTTTATTTCATCGAATGTTGTTTTTTCACTTCTAAAAGTTATAAAATAGAAGGTTAATTTTTTTTTTAATTTTAACATTTTATTTTAATTAATTATTTATTTATTATAACTTTTAGATGTAAAAAAATGTGTACATTTGGTGACAATTGGTCTAATATTTTATAAAACTTTAAGAAAACAATACGTTTTACAAAAATTTCATAAATAAAGAACATATTATTTATTAAATACTGAAAATTCTTTCTTTTAACATTTGCCTACACAAAGTTCAGGCCTTCATCAGGGCTGAGAAAAGAACCAGATAACAATAGGTATGAGAAACATAAACAATATAGGTAAAAAAAAAAAATTAAAGTAAAATGAAGTAGATAAGTGAACATTAAATTAAAGTAGAATAATGACAATAACAAGAACTAAGAAATAAATAATAATAACGGCTAAGAAGTGCAGAATAATGAAGTAAACATAATCAAAATAAGGCAACATAAGAACTAAAAATGGTAATCTTAGAATAAAATGTAAAACAGAGAAAAGGAATATGAAGTTATATAAGAAATACATGTAAATAAAAAAATCAAGATATTGCAAATAGAATAGTTAGATAGATTTAGTTAAGATTTTCTATCGAACTATTCTATTTGTAATATGTTAATTTTACTATTTATTTTCATTTCTTATATAACTTCATATTCCTTTTTCTGTTTTACATTTTATTCTAAGATTCCCATTTCAATACTTATTTCACCTCTTTTGATTATGTTTACTTCATCATTCCACACTTTGTAACGGCTATTATTATTTATCTCTTAGTTCTTACTATTGTCATTATTCTAACAACTTCATTTTACTTTTTTTTTTTTTTTTTTTTTTACCTACACTACTCATGTTTCTCATACCTTGTTATCTGGTTCTTTTCTTAGCCCTGATGAAGGCCTGAACTTATACCGAAGTAATATGAAGTTATATAAGAAATACATATAAATTTAAAAATTGAGATATTGTAAATAGAATAGTTTAAATAGAAAATTGAGATATTGTAAAGTCTAATAGAATAGTTCAAATAGAAAATTGAGATATTGTAAAGTCTAACACAATGTACTGACTACGTATAAGAGAATAAAAAGTTAAAATAAAGAAAAGAATAAATGAGGAAATATAGCAATATATAAAAATACCAAAAACTTTGTATATATTGAGATTGAGAGACCCATATTATAACATAGGTTTCGGGTATTGACATGTATTAGACAAAATACAAGTAATATGCAAGGAACATGGTTGTTTTTATATTTTTGGACCAAAAATTAATTATAAGGAATTATATAATGGAAATATGTTGGAATTTATAGATTTTTTGTTGGATTTTGATAATTTGAAAATGAGCTAAGTAAATGTTGTTATAACATGAACAAATAGTAAAATTATAAGAGCTTGTCTATCCTCTTGAAGACACCATGTATAAATTCTATTTTTCGTTTTCATATTCATTATCCAAATTACAGAGAAGTATGGGGCTCATTTCATTATTTTTTATCCATTATTTCATTAGGTAGCAGACGCCCAGTTAATGGTCCTAGGAATGTCGATGATCCAGAAAGTATAACCGAATTTTATTTATGACGTAAATTTCAAAACATGACGAAGGAGCACGTCAGACTTTACCCATGAATAGCTATGAAAATATGGGACTTTAAGTTTTGAAGATGGGAATAATTTTCCCGAAACATCAACTTAACATGTAAATCAACAAATAAACCAATTGTTGTACAACTGGAAATTTTCATTGACGAAAATAAAGAATATTATACAGCTTTCCAGTAAAAAGAAGAAAAGACGAATTCATTATTTTTTAATTGTTACATTTCTCAAAAATAATAATATCAATTTTCTTCTCAATATTTTATATATTTTTTGCAAAGTTCTGATGGAAAATTAGAATTATTAGAGTAAATACTAAAATTCCCTATGACTGTTTTCCAAGCATAATTACCGATTTTTTCACAATACATAAAATTCAAGCAGAATTTCCAAACTTTAAGTGATTGGAGAATACTGTATGTACCCTCAATAAATAAAAAAATTGTACCACTACAACCCTTGTAAGGTCTTGGGTTCAGTACTTTGTAAGGACTGCTGGTTTTTGATCAAGGATTGTGCAAGGATGTAATTTGACCGAGATCATGCTCTATCGCCATATTTCACATTAATTAATAAATTAATAGTCCCCTCTCAATAGATAGATAGATAGAAGAAATCTTCATTTTATATACATTTTACATATTCCCTTTTTTTATAATAACAAAACTATTTTTTTTGGGCAATAGTATAGAACCGTCTGCCTGGATTTACCCTAAAAATACATACAATGAAAAGAAATAATAGTAACAAAATAAATAAAAACAATTAAATTTGGAAACATTTAACAGCCTTCTGTCATTTAAAACAATATAAAACTACTTAATACATATAATCTAAATAAACTTTAATCAGAAGGCAGAAATAAATAATTATATTTATTTTGACATTTGCCGACGTTTCGACCTGAAGTTCAGGCCTTCATCAGGGTTAAGAAAAGAACCAGATAACAAGGCATGAGAAACATAAGTAGCATAGGTAAAAAAAAATTAAAGTAAAATGAAGTTGTTAGAATAATGACAATAGTAAGAACTAAGAGATAAATAATAATAGCCGTTACAAAGTGTGGAATGATGAAGTAAACATAATCAAAAAAGGTGAAATAAGTATTAAAATGGGAATATTAGAATAAAATGTAAAACAGAAAAAGGAATATGAAGTTATATAAGAAATGAAAATAAATAGTAAAATTAAGATATTGCAAAAAGAATAGTTCGATAGAAAATCTAAACTAAATCTATCTAACTATTCTATTTGCAATATCTTAATTTTACTATTTATTTTCATTTCTTATATAACTTCATATTCCTTTTTCTGTTTTACATTTTATCTCTTAGTTCTTACTATTGTCATTATTCTAACAAATTCATTTTACTTTAATTTTTTTTACCTACACTACTTATGTTTCTCATACCTTGTTATCTTGTTCTTTTCTTAGCCCTGATGAAGGCCTGAACTTCAGGTCGAAACGTCGGCAAATGTCAAATAAATATAATCATTTATTTTTGCCTTCTTATTTGACTGATCACCCCAACTATTCTTCTCTTCATTATTCACGACAGTCAACTATTTACCCACAATTATAAATAAACTTTAATTTGTCAAAAAATAAGAAAGAAAGAATTTTTGTTGCATAAATTTAATCTTATACTTGCTTTTGTTTACATATAAATAAAGAATTTTATGTGTTGTATTGATGATTGATATATTTTACTTACTAGAGGCTGTAGAGTAGTTATGGGATAGAGATATAAACTTTCATATTCTGGCCATGAGTTCTGGTTTAGTTTGGGTCTTGGCGGTTGTGGATTTTGGGCTTTTTAGTGGGGTTTCTGTTATGTCACTGGTATTGGCGTATTTATGAGTCTGAAGTGGCTTGAACTTGAAGCGTGGATGGATTTGGTGCTTTGCGTATATAGCAGTGGGTGCGCTGGCGATGTTTAATCGTGGGGGGTAGTTTGCTTGTTGGGGAATATATTGGAGTTTGTGTAGGTGGATGGGGTGGGTATGGGGGTGTGGGTTGAAGGGTCACAGTTGGGGAGTCGGGTTAGATTGTGTATGGGATGGTTAGAGTGGGTATAGAGAGCAGGGGGACAACGATGATTTCTGATGGGGTTTGGGATGGTGAGTTTGGGCTGGTTATTAGTTGGGGGTGTGGAAAAGAGGCAATATGTTGTTGAAAGTGTTGGTGAGAGGCTAAGGGGTCGATTGAGGGTTGTGTTCATGGTGTATGTTGGGTTGCGAGTAGGTGGGACTGATGTATAGGCTCGATTGAAAGTGACGAAAAAAAAAAAAAATCCTGCTTGATACTTGCAAGACTGAAATTCTTTTTTTATTTAAATGAAATGAAACAATATCAACATTTTCTAGTATATCTTCTAGAAAATAGATATTGCGCAAGGAATCTGAGAAGAATAAATGAAAAAATAATAATAATTTAACATGACTTACCTAAAATATTATTTCCTCTTTCTGGATATCCACTTATTGTAAGTGTATGGGAATGATCACTCGTTACGATGATGAGAGTATCATCTTTTATACCTGAAGACTCGAGCAAACTTATAGTACTGTTGATCGCTTTATTCAATTCTACAACTTCATTAAGTGCTACCCGGGCCTTACCCTCGTGATGCGCGTGATCTATTCGTCCTCCTTCAACCTTTAATAGTATTAATATCATATAATAAATATTATAGAAAACGGTATTTTCTTAATTATTTAGAAACTGCGACTAATGTTTGGATATAATTTTACCATTAACAGAAATCCTTCTTCTTTGTTTTTCATAAGAATTTTTAAAGCAGTCGTTGTCATTTGTTCTAAAGATGGTACTCCATTTTCTGACTTATCCCTTACATAATCATAAGGCATATGACTGTTGGAAAATATACCTAAAGCAGAAAATTATATTCTTACATAAAATAATTAGATCCGTTGCAAATGTAAATATTATTATTTTTTCTTATTTATTTGCCAATTTTATTATACTTTTTAATGCCTGTCTATCCATATTAAATGTTATGGAAGAGCTGTTTCAATAAACTTCTCAAAAATTACCCTAATGAATTTGATTAAATTAATTATTTCAGTGTAAAACTTAGCAATTTTTAATCTTGTGTATGTCCCTTTAAGTATTTTCACTCCCCTTTGTCTGAAAATACCTATTTATGTTATAAGAAGTGGTGGTAAGTGAATTTTTTGTGATTTGTGCGCCACAACACATTTTAAAATATATTTTATTTATATTTCAAAATTTGAGATTGATCAATCAAAATTTAAAATGTAATTAAAATATATTTAAAAAGATACCGTTGGATGGTAAATGACTTGAACATTTAAAACAATCTAATAATAACTAATAGAAAAAAAAAATTATATTTTGCTTGACAACAAAAGATGAAAAATACACTCTTAACTTCTTCTTTTTTTTTTTTTTTGTAATACATCCATTTTTTATATTGATATCTTCAAATATTTCTTATTTTTTTTAATATTGTTAATAGCCATGAAGAAAGTTTGCAAATTCATTTATAAAGAATTAATATGGGTTTTATTTTTAATGCAAGCCTTACCCCTCTAATCAGACATATACATTTTCAAATAAAAGCTTCAAAATACTTACCTAATAAATAATCCGTGTTGTCAATGTCAACTTCCAACAGAGTCTTGGTGTTATTTGGGACTGCATAATCAAGACCATCCGATTGTTTCTCTTCAGCCCATTCTTTAATCAGATCTCGGCCATCATTTCTTGTACAAGAGTCAGCTACAACAGGATCTCCCGGTAAAGAGGAGCAATTAGCTTTCAGCTGCTGTCGCCCACCACCCATTATCACCTAATGGAATAATAAATAATAATGATTAGATAAATCTAATAAAAAACATTTTAAATAACACATAAGTAATAGAACAAAGTAGCATTTGCTTGTTTATGAAAAGTCTGAAATTATTAATTTTGATAACTTTATATACCTATATATATATATATATATATATTCTGTAGTTCGGATTGTATTATTTTTTATCAACATAAAATAAATGGAATGAAACCACATTTTGGACAAATATTTCTTATTCTTATTGCCAATTTGTAACCATAATAAGGGAGAAATAATTCTAGGAATAAGAAGTGTGGAGTCTTCATTATAATTCGTCCCACTGGTGCATCCGGCCTGCTCTGTATATTTAAAATAAAATATGGCACGCTCACAAAAAACGTTTTATATAATAGAGAGATGATCAATTGTAAACTAGCATTAGCTTTTTTAACACAACAAAATTTGGCAATGGTGAAGGGAATTAATCGGGCATGTTGGTCCTTTGTGCTGAAAAAATGTCCATTTTTTTTTCTCACAAAAGTTGAAGAATCCAAATCGATTTTGCGAGACTACCACAATATAAAAATAACTTAAGTACCGTAATAATTTCTCTGCTGAAAAAAATAAAAACTTAAAGATTATGAGAATATCCAGCTAAAACACCATAAGAATGCCAATTTAATGAATTATTTTGGAAAATTAAGATTTTTATAACTTACATTGAAGTGTTTTCCAGGAGAATTTTCTATAAGTTGCCTGGCGATATCTTTGCACATTTGAGCTTCTGGTGGTAATTTTGAGTCACATTCCCAAAGCCTGTTGGCAGAATGAGAATACATTGCGGCTGGAGTGGCATCGGTTATACGTGTTGTCGTTACGATACCTAGAAATCACATCAATGGTTTTTTTTAAGTTATGGATCCATCATATTTTAAATCTATAGCTCAACACAAAAATTTCTCCTTTATATAAGAATAGATTAAAAAATAAGAATTCTTGATTGTAAGTATATACAAAACTGGCATTTGATTTCGTGAATGCAAATATGAATAAATTACAGAATTAAAGTTTGGTTGATATATAAATAAATATTAACTTATGAAACAACCAAGCTAATTTATAACAACAAATTAATATCCTATATATTATTTCTAAAAGGTGTTTTTTTTGTCGGTATGCCATAACTTCGTAAGTTTTTCATCAAATCCAATGATTGACCACTCATTTTGAAGATATTCTTTTCCTTCACATGCGAAAAATAGTCCTTTCTTCCCCCCCCCATCCCCCTGAAATTTCTAGAAAAAAAGTTATGAAGGAAAGGAAACTTTATTTGCGAATAACTCAAAAAGTATGCATTTTTTTCTGGATTGTACCCATGATAATTAGAAAGATTACTAAATTACCTACAAAAAAAAAAACACCAAAAAATCGTACAATTATTAACAAAGACACAGTCCATTAGTTTTGGTATACTTAATAATGTCTTCCTGTTTAAAGATATTGCATTTAGGAGTAGAATAGTCTACTACACTTATTTTCCTGGCTGATATATTAACTTTATTATTTCTTAAAGGTATTTGTTTATTCTTACATTTGATTTTTTTTAATAATTTAGAAAATCCCATGATCTGGGAATTATTTTGTCTTTATTACTTTTATTATCTTTCCAGTCAGCGTTTGGTCCGACCAGAGCAATTTGTACAAATATTTTGGTCTATTATGTTTAATGGAATATTGTAATCGACCAAGGGAAAAATATTAATTCCTTCCTTACATAATACATAGCAACTACTAATTTCCATATTGTTTTGCTATTTCTTCACTAAACAAAATTTTCTGTGAATTATTCACACGGGCCTACTAGTTGGATTTTATTGTAATATACATAGAGTTAGTTTTAACTAATTTAGTAATATTTAAAGTGTACGTAAGTTTTAATTTTACCAGTGGATTTTCCTGCATCTTGGGCTAATTTTGCCACACTTATTAGATGATTCTGTTTAAGTAAACTTTTATGACAATCACCGAACTTAACCGATGGGTCTACGGATAACATTCCCATATTTGTTTTTACTCCAGTAAACAAGGCGGTGGCCGTATTAGCCGAATCAGGAACTTGCTTGTCAGCAGCATACGTCTGAAGAAAAACAAAAAAATAATTACTATCAATCATAAAGTAAATTCATATTAAAATATAAAATATTTAACATTTTAGAAAAAATAAACTACAATAACATAAAATAATAGTTTAATTCCATAAAAATCATGAATATTATTATCTTTAATATTTTATAGTAAAAAGTCAATGCTAGAAATAATAATATGTAGGTAAAAGATATTGTCTAATAACACGTAGGCAGAATAAACTATTCTATTTTCAATTTCTATTCCCAACTTTTTTAGCATTAATTTATATTTCGTTTATTTATATATATCATATATTTACTATTCCTCATATTTATTTATTTACTATTCCTCATATTTATTAATGTTGAGTTATTCTTACAAGTTATAAGACTATACCTTTTACCTACATATTATTATTTTTACCATTTCCTGTTTTCTCATTTTTATGTTATTTTGTCTTTTCTTAGTTCTGATGAAGGCCTGAATCTTGGACCGAAACGTAGATAAAAATAAAAGTAAATATAATTTATTTATTTTTTACTTTGTGACTTGTGACTGAACACCCCAACCAACTTCTCTTTAATATATCTACAAAAGTCAATTATTAATCCACTATCTTTAATATTATTTATTTTGAAGCAATCAATGAAGATCACTCCAAATAGAACGATGAAGTGGAGTGACAGGATGGCTTGGAGTGAAGACGATTTTATGAGTTTCACTGAGGATCACTGCACTATATTGTGCTTTTTTTTAACAGTAGGTAGCGATTTGCACACATATACACTATTTTAAAAACTATTTTGAACCCATAAACAATATAATTAAAAGCTTTAATAAGAAATATTATCTCTGAATATTACGAAAATAATATTGATCCTTTAACAATGATATACTCTTTATGAGTTAAGAGGAAACCAGGCTTAGGCGACAGTGGACTCATATATGAGTCAGGAAGGGACCGTGACCTGATAGCGATGTACTCACGTATAAGTCAGTACCATATCGACTATTTCTTAGTTTTTGACTCATTCAATTGTATAAAAGGTCAATTTTATTAAGAATAAAGGTTCAAAAGTTCATATTTTATAAAAAAAAAAATTCTATTGATCATGTTGTAAAAATACTTCCGTTCAATTGTATAAAAGTTAGATAAAACAAAACACAGATGTTTAGAATGATGTCCGGCTGCGCTATCATTTCCACTCATTGTCGTTAAAAGGTCAACAGTCAAAATTATAGTGTTTTAAACTTTATTATATTTTGTTTTATTAAAAATTACCTGATCATTTTTGTCATACCTCTCAACAATAAAATGGAACACATATTTAAAGTATACAAATATATCAATTTACAGATTAATGGGATATAAGTTGTCTACAATTAATACGAGTTAATGGAATATAAATAGCGCTTCTACAATATCAAGAACAGAAAATTATTTAAACTTAAAAAAATAATATTAATTAAAAATATATATATTTAGGAAATTTTCAATTTCATTATTAAAAAGAATTTTCACCTGAACCTTAAATACAGAAAAAAGAAAATTTTAAGCATAGTCGTATTATTCATTATTTATCCACTTGTAGTTCCTAGGAGAATTTTATGTAGCTCACATTAATTAAACAATTGTTTTAATAAAAGCAATTCAACATATAAATATATAATGTGTTTTTATTATCTTATCGATATTTATATAAAATATAATTGAGAGAAATTATATACATAAACATAAATGTGATGTCTGTTTTTACCCATTCATTACATGACCTATGTTTTAATTGAGATTGAGCTGATATACTGATATTAAGATATTCCACAAATGATATTATTTATAATATTTTTTCTTCCTTTTCTATTTAATCAATATCAAAATGTAATTTAATATATATATTTATATTGTTGATGATACCATTAAAGATGCTTTTCAGGAAGTTATTAATTCACAAAAGATTTTGAGAATAATGGAGAAAACAAACTTTTTTTTGAATAGAGATAAAAAAAGTATTAATTATAGGAATTGTATGAAAACGAAGTAGAATATTTTGATTAGCATATTATAATTATATTATATTTATTCATGTTTTATTAATATAATTATAAAAAATTCACATTTCATCTGACACAACCAGATACAATTCTATTCTACAAGATTGTCATAATTATTGTAAAACTATTTATTTACCTTTATTGCTCCCATGTGAGGAAATCTTTCCCATGTGACATAACTGCTCTCGCCTCCCATATAGATCCTTGACGCAGTTATTGTGTTCGGGCCCATCCCATCGCCGATAAATATCACAACATTTTTAGCTGTTCTGGTATTATGACGTACATTTAAGCTGGCTTTAAGGTCTTCTATAGCTTTGTGCTTCCAATAATTTTGACCTAAATCATATCGATAATGAAATTCATGCAGTAAAATGTTTATATAAAGCGCAAATTATGGCATGAACATACAGACATGAGTTACAAGTAATAATTATTTCAAATTATGATTATATTTTAGAAAGAAATAATAAAATTAACGAATATGACTTGGAAAAATCTACAATTCATATAGGAGAGAAATTTTTAATAAGAAAAATTACTTTCATTGTGAGATGAATATAATTCATAATAAAAAATAAAATGTAAATGAAAAAATTTGAAGTGGAAGATGAATATTAAGCTCGATTTACAACTTAAAGACTATAGAAAGAATTGTAGTTTGTCCCAAACTTACAGAGTAACAAATTGATCCTCAGATGAGAACAACAGATATTCTACAATGAATCTCAATCATTATAAATATTATGTTCTGTTCATACTTATGGCACATAATCAAGGAGGTATTTATTAATTTTGTCATTTTTATATTGTTGTTGTCGATTACTTTTTTATTAACTTAGTGTTTTAATCCACAATATTCGTATTTCAATTTACAACAACTATTTCTTATTGATAACTGTGTATAGTAATAAACTATAAAATGTGACATTTACAATGCAGAAAGATATAGTTCATCATCTTAATGATTCTTGTTATTTAAATGATACTTCGGTGATTCTTGTTAACTTAAAATATCTATGGCACTAGCCATCCTCTATATTTCAAAGTTTTGAAAAATAACAAAATAAAAGTAACAATTCTCAGAGTAATAATGTAGGAATTCAAGCATTTACCTCTAAGTACATACTTTAGAAATAAGTACTGTTAATTCAAATAAATCTATTTAAAAAAAATAAATAAATCAATTGTTAAAGAAAAGTACAAATTAAGAATAATTGTTACTTCAAAATCATTATGACTTAAAAGTTATGTAATGATGTGACAATAAAAAAATCTTCAGTAATTGTAATGAGATCATAAGTTAAGAATAATTTTTACATAATGTCAGTTATCTTAGAAAAAATAGTCAGACTGTATACATTTACTAAAAATTACGATAATTATTTAGATGACAGCAGCGGTTATAAGTAGTTCACAATCACTTCGGTCACACTTGTTCATGTAATGCTGAACGCATCCTGTTTATCTGGAAGACTTCTCTACATTTACTGAACAAGTGTGACCGAAGTGATTGTGAACCACGCGTAACCAGTGTGATTTTTATTAACTTTCTTAAAACTTAATAAAAATGGGAATAGGAAACCTCTATAATATATAGAAATATAACATTTAAAGTGTAAACCATTACCTTAATTATTTAGATGAAGGCCACACGGATTACGCCTAGTTCACAATCACTTCGGTCACACTTGTTCACGGAATGCCAAATGCATTGGGGTTTATTGGGAAGACTTTTTCCTGTTTTATGAACAAGAGTGACCGAAGTGATTGTGAACCACACACGTAACCCGTGCGATGCTCATTACTTTTCTTAAAGCTAAATAAAAATGGGAGTAGGAAACCTCTAGTAGACATTTAACATTTAAACAGTAAACTTTTGGACAGCAAATGCAACCATGATAATTTATAAACTATCATAGTTCAATCTTATTGATATCTGTATCCTTCCATTAAAACAAAAATTATTCTAATTTATTTTATATTGATCTCAATGTTTTTAAAAATACAACTTACTACTCCTGTCCAAAGTGATAATACAACAAAGTAAAACTGATATTATTGATTAAATAAAACTGTTCAGGAATATTATATTAAGAAAACAAATGAGTAGAAGCAGAGGGCGTGTTATTAAAAATATTCCGAACATAATGTAAAATTGAAACAAAAATGACAAGCCTTTAAAAATAAGAGTTCTAGTTCACATTGGCGGCCCACGGATTACGCGTGGTTCACAATCACTTAGGTCACACTTGTTCAAGGGGTGTTCAAAGCGTTCGGGTTTATCCGAAAGAGAACGAAATCCACAGAAGATATATGATGGGAATACATGAGTTTTTCAAAAATGCATGAAAACTGATTGTCTGGTAGGGGAAATAGCTGATGTAATAAAAGACGGTGACATTCTGCTCTTTTCGGGATTCCATAAACAAGTGTGATCGAAGTGATTGTGAACGACTAACTACACGCGTAATCCGTACAGGACTCATGTGAACTAGTATCAAAAATAGTACCTACCTATAATCTCATAATATTTTCTTATAAATATTTTTACACCTTCAGTTGTATCGATGAAATAAAAATTACTAGTTCCGTTTCGCTATGACAAGATGGCGGTAGGTTCAAGATCAGCCAGAGCACTACTATTTTCCGAAAATACTCGAATATGACCGAAAGAAGACAGAGTGTACCGAACGTCAATTCTTGATAGTAAATCACACTAACTATTTAAGAATATAAAGGAGGAAGATGGTCCGGGGTGGCGGTCATAAATAGGCTAAGTAGTGGCAAAACTATTTTATTAAAAGCCAGACGTTTCGACCCGACTTTGCAGGTCTTCTGCAGTCAGTAGTGGAAACTTACTGAACTATCGATATAGTCGATTGTTTTTCAATGATAGTAGCGAACTAACGATAGTGACTAACTATCGACTATCGGCCATCTGCAAAATATAGGAAGTAAAGTAGTGCCAACCTAACAATCAACTGTAGTCAGTGTTGCTAGGACAAGGACACAATGTAAAAATAATTAAATCAATGACATTTCTACAAAATAAAAATATATTTACGACTATCAATTTCATAATAAGATTTTAAGTTTCAAGTACCATTTTTATCTGTACAACTATTGTGTTCATGCACTCGATGGAGAGACATTCAACACTGGGTTCAAGACAGGCATCAAATTGGATTTTCCTATAGATTAACGTTTGGAAAAATAAAAATGATAATAACGAGGGTGGATTTTTAAATTTCATATCAATACTCCATCTAAATCGTTATTTTATTAAACGATTTTATGTTTTTTCTCATTTTTAACACTGGCGTGCATTACATTCGAGATATGATAATGAGTTCGTTTTCTAATGAACATTGAATTCGCAAGTTGATTTTAACAGAACAAATAATCAATATTAGATTGATGAACATTAATTAGGAAGATTATATCACCGTGGTTCAAATATTTGTCTTTACAATATCATTAACGGATTTTCAGACAGATAGAAAGTGTGATGAAATAGTCAATATATGTAAATAATTAAATATTTCGATAAAGAGTAGAATTAAACGATTAGATTAAAGCTTCTTGAATTAAACTATTAATGCATTTATGATCTTATATTGTCAAACGTAAATAAATTTGAAAAAAAAATCCAACTTATTATTATACTATTTTAAATTTTTAACCAGATTTTTTGACTTTAACAAACGGCAAAACTGTCATAAAAGAAAAAAAAAATTTTTTTGTACACTCCTTTAAGATCACTTAAATATCAGATCATATAACGAGGGTATTTTTTTCTTCTTTCAGAACAATTAGCGCTATAAAAAAAAATAAATAAAAAACCTCCCCCTTTAAAAAAAAAATTCTGGATCCTCTATTGCTAAATGGGATATTTTTACCAAACAATAAATTTGGTAATTGTATGGGATTCATATGGCAAATGGTTTTATATAACAAATAATTAATCCATAAACTTCAGGCATCTGATGGAAGGATGTTTATCTTATTTTCCGAAAAAAAATGACAACAAATTATTAACAGAATCGCTAAGATATTTAGCAACTGTACATAAATACCAACGACTTTTCTTAATTCTTATGTTTTCATAGTTGTTATAATTGTTTTCCGGTAGAACGTCTCAGAATGCTTGAAAAACACGTTTAACGATGTTTTTAATGTTTCTTTATTGAAGAGGTACTCAAATTATATTTTTTTGATATGCTCGCCTAAGATTAATAATCTTCGAGACAAATATTCAAAACGACACTCACAATGATTCATCGTGGCCGATGAAGAATAATTAATAAAACTTTAATTAATTAATAAAATATTAATGAGACCCTCTGATTTTGGAGAAAAACTTGCTCTAACATCTGAGACATATTCCTACCTTAATTTCTAATTTAAGTTTCGTACTTTTCATTTTTGAGATAGATTGTTCACATACCCACATCTTACGAAACTTCGACTCATTTGGATTTAGCTGTCGTCAAAATGTATATTTCTGTTGAAAATTCGGATTCGAAATTTTCCGCGTTGGAAATATTTTCCGCTACTTATCACATATTTTATATATAGGTAAGTGAAAATAAAAACATATTGATCTTTACTAAAGCTTTTACTAAGACCTATCACGATTTTATTTATATGCTGATATTATAACTGACGCTCTCAACGAGAATCTGGATTAATTATTTTAGATTGTATAAAAAACAGTTTTCAAAAATTATTAGTACATATTTTAGTTCTGGGACCTATAATTGGCCTAATTATGTGAACATCGTAATGTTACTACAATGTTTACAATACAATATTGACATTTAAAAAAAAATCAATATACACACCTATGTGTGCCTGGCCTTCAAAAAAAGAAAAAAACGTTTTATTTTTCAAAACATAATTTCGCATGATACGATTTTTTTTTAATGTTGAAGAATTTTTGTATTCTGGACCAGAAACGTTTTTGAACCTAAAATTTTTTAATAAAAATCTATAAAAAATAAACTGTTTTTACGATGTAGAAGAAGTTGAATCAACAAAATTTTACACAAGTAAAATAAAGTATTATAAGGTTTTATGAAATAATTTATATAACCTTCCATGAAGTGAGGAATTTACGTATCAAAGTACGTTTTAAATAATATAAAAATGTTTATTATTATTTTAATTATAAAAAAATCAAGGCTGTCCATTTCTGTAGAATTTTTAGAATTATTAATAAAGCAAAATAAAATAGGAAATTCCCACGACTTTTTCAATCAATTCAAACCACAATGGGAGAATAACGCTAAACATAATTTGCATACAAATGTATTTTTCGAAAACATTATATTCCTTTTTTCAAAAATACAAAACCTAATGATAAAGGAATTTCTAGATATTAACAGAATATAAATTAATTTATTGAAAAGAATAAACTTTTAAAAGTCTCTGTCTTCTTTCATGATTAACTATCCTCAACAGCATGATGGAAAAACTATATGGCTGAATGAAATCATTTAATTTAGTTTGAAATTTCTTTAATTTCCTTGTTTGAAGATAGTTGAAATTTCTTTGTCACAGATAACTAAACAAAACAAAAACTAAAATTATAATAATGATATGAACTGGATTTAGGTGAAAAATATTAGCACTGGATCGAGGCTAAACTAATTTTTTGTAATAATAAAGTTTTTTACTAAGTGTTTGGGCAATGCAAGGATACTAGTTTATATTACAATTTCATACAGAGTCGCTAGTGGATCCAGGATTTAATTTTTTTTTGGGGGGGGGGAGAGGATCAGCCCGAAAGTTTTTTTTTCAAGTATATAACGGTAATTATTTTGAAAAAAAAGAAAGATACTAATTAAGCATATGAAATAATGTTTAAGTGATTCTTGAAGTTTTATCAAATGCAAATTACACGTACAATAATACTTTAATAGATATTTTTCCATAAAACGTGGTTCAACCATTTTTTGGGGGGAGAGAGAGAACTTCAGCCCGAAAGACCCTCCCCCCCCACGCAGATCCCCCTGTGTACATAGTTATACACCGAAATACGTTAGGACTGAAGAGAATAAAGATTAGCTATTTGATTAGACAATTTCAGTAAATGGTAGTAATAATTATAGTAATTTAAAGTGTGTATTGAGAGAGAGAGAGAGAGAGAGAGAGAGAGAGAGAGAGAGAGAGAGAGAGAAATACTTTATTGAAAGTAGTGCTGCCCTACTACATAGGGTTGCTTTACACCACGGACGGATCTACGAGGGGGGGGGGAGAGCTTTCGGGCTGAAGCCCCCCCCCAAAATGGAAAAATATAACCATGTTTTATGGGGAAAAAAAATAAAAAAATATCTCTTAAAGTATTATTGTTCGTGTAATTACATTTAAAAGTACTTAAGGAATAACTTAAACACCATTTCATATAGGTAGTTAGTTTCTTTCTGTTTTTCCAAAGTAATTATCGTTATTTTTTATGAAAAAAAAGGTTTCGGGCTGAAGCCCCCCTCCAAAATTAAATCCTGGATTCGCTAGTGCTTTATACACACCATACCGATCAATCCATTTGGACATAATTTATACATTAACTTATCATATCACTACATATATATCTTTCCTTCATCATTATAATAATAGTCTTATAAAATATAAATTAATAACTACACCAAGTCCAATAAACTACACTGAGCCATCAACATTGAATAACATACATATAAAAAAAATTCCATGCTAAGATGGATTTAGGATGTAAAACAAAAGTTTTACTGAGACATCAGACAGTCTTTTAATTAATTAATGTTTACGACTTTTTATTTTCGTAGAAACTTACTGATAAATAACAAGACAAGAAACAAAATGTATATACGAATTTTAATATATTTAATAACTAAGACTTACCTAAGACTTCCAATCCCTCTGCAGCATTTAGGCCTATGAGGAGAACAAGAAAGTAGAAGATCATCCTTACAGTGGATGACAAGATCTACCGGAAATATTTAAACCTTCTTTGACGTATATATAAATCCCCCACTTCGCTGTTATTTCGGCAACAGGTATAGCTCATTGCTAGGTGCTGATGTGGAGGGGGATGGTAAATACGAATTTTCTTGTTTCAAAGAAAGTTTAATACACAGTTTAATGCATAATTTAAATCAGAAATGTATTTAGATTTTGTACACTCAGAAGCCTAAAATATTTGTCGACCCCTTTAATAACATAGGAGAAATGGTCATCAAGAAAATAGTATAATAATTACGTAAATCCGTAAACCGTACAAAAATAATGTTGGCCCATGAAATAGGCCTTTTAATTAATTCTTTCTCAAATAAATCTAATAGTAAACACGTTTTTTTATTGAAATTTCAATTAATTTTAATTGACAAATTTGCTACGGAAGGCATTATAATCGGTTATAACGATGCGATGAAACAGAACAAAGAATTGAACTGCTACCACTAGCGGATCCATGATTTATTTGGGGGGGGGGGCTTCAGCCCGAAAACTTTTTTCCCCATATATATCACGATAATTACTTTGGAAAACCAGAAAGATACTACCTATATGAAATGTTGTTTAAGTGATACTTGAAGTCCTATTAAATGAAATTAAACGAGCAATAATACTTTAAGAAAATTTTTTAATATTTTTTACCATAAAACATGGTTACATTTTACCATTTCGGGATGGGCTTCAGCCTGAAAAACCCCTCTCCTAGATCCGTCTGTGCCTGCTAATAGCCGTATTTGAACCCAGGATCTTGAGCTTTGAAAGTCAGTGGAGACACAATTTGAAGTGAAAGAATTTATTGAACAACTGGTGTTTAAAAAAACAAATAAATAATTTCGACATAGTTTCTTCATCTGATGTTAGTTCCAAAAAGGGTGAGCACCATAGCTGCCATCAATAATGGATCCACGATTTCATTTGGGGAGGGGAGGCTTCAGCCTATATATATATATATATATATATATATATATATATATATATATATATATATAACGATAATTACTATCGGAAGAAAATGAAAGAAACTATATGAAATGTTGTATTAGTGATTCTTGAAGTCCTATTAAATGCAATTACACGAGTCGAGTCGTAATACTTATAGAGATAATTTTTAAATATATATATTTTTTTAATAAGACATGGCTATATTTTACAATTTGGGGGGGAGGGGAGAGAGGGCTGCAGCCTGAAAGCCCGTCCCCGAAGATTCGCCTGTGGCTGCCATCAGAGAAGTCTTATTTTTTTTTGGGAAGAGGAGAAAGATAAAAGGTGATTTAATCTTTTCCTTGATGCCTACCAGGTAAAATCGAATATAATTTTAAAATTACTTAATCTGCTGAATTTCTTTCTCATTACTTATTTTTGAACTTTTTATATAATATATTTTTTAATTAAATTCAAAATGAAGAGAGTGGAAACAAAAAGTTGAAACCCCCAAAAAGGAAATATTTTAACCCCAAATTGATTCACATACAAAATTTAAATCCTCCATAATAGCTCTCTCCATCCTATCCAGTAGATATCCTAAATAGCCTATCCAGTATTTAATTTTTTTTTTTAGGTTTGTAATTTCTTGAAAAAAAAAACAAACTAACTATATAAAATGTTGTTTGAGTAGAGCCATAAGACCTGCACAAAAAAAAAAAAAAAAAAAAAAGGATAATTTCTTGACATATACTTACATTTAGAAACTGTTTATGTATTATAATTTTAAAAAAGAATATATTGTGATTGCCCTATCATTTAGCTTGGCGTATTGATACCCTTCATTACAGTGCTTATTTTTTTTGAGAAAAATATAACTAAAAATGTATTTATTTCCAAAATGAAATAACGAGAAGCCCCATTAAATAAGGAAAAGGTAATCTATATAGCAAAAACAAGTTAAAGTGAAAATAAAGAGAAAACGTGATATGGAATGATTGGTTAAATTTTCAATTCTGAAGATTTTTCTGATATTTAACTTACTTTCAAGAACTCTTCGATGTATTTAAAAAAATAATGTTCTGTAGTTCACATGAACTGAGAAATTGACTGACATCTTGAAAATATTTTTTTAACCGATTCAGCGTCATTACATATTAGAGCCATACAATTAGCCAACTATGACTTATTTCACTCATTCTTTCAACAGTTTAATCCTTCTAAATTTTATTTCTGGACAAGTCAGAATTGCTGAGAATATGAGTTAACATCCTTTTAGCAGTTATATTGGAGTCTAACTGTACAAAGACGAAATACTTCATATTACGCTAATGGACGTGTAAAGAAATTAAGAGACATGGAGACAAATTTCCCCAGATTAATTTTTGAACTCATCACTGAAACCCTGTGATAATGTAAGGATCAAAAAAAATTATGTAATGATATTGATGTTAGATCTGATTCTGAGATTTTCTGTGTATTGGACTATAAATATTTCTACATATTAAAAACTATATACAACAATAAAAATAAAACCTGTATCACAACAACTCATGAAAGATTTTGATTTAGAAAAAAAGTAAATAAAAATAACATTTCTTTTTTTTTGGAAAACCAAATCCAAATATTTTTCAATATATATTTCAGTACAGTTACAATTGAAACATATGTAATCATATATGAGGAGATGTCAGGAAGTATTCTCCAACTATGCCATTCAAGTTCTTCACTGAACGCCAATAAAGTGTTTTATTTAATTTATTTTTATTTTTTAGATGAATTAAGTATATTTATTTTTTGTAATTGTTTACCACATGTATGTGTGATTACAGGGTGGCTACCAGACAGTTAAAAGTAAATTTCCTTGGCTTTTCTTTATTTATTGATAGTTTTTCCTTACCAATAGTTCTAGGAACACAAGTAAAAGTGTCATTAAACATGTATAATTTATAACTAAATTTATTTATTATACAGGAAAGAATATTGACAACAAAATAATTTGAGTAAAAAAAAAATCAGTCTTTTAAATAACAGATAATGTTTTAGAAGAAGCATTTTTTATTGTAGAAAAATAAACTTTTAGTAATTAATTGTTATTGCTTTTATTTTTTTTTTTCATGAACTGAGAGGAAGTAAAAGTTGATACTTGACATATAAAGCTCTGCTTTCCTCTATTATAAAATAAAGTAAGCTGCGGGAGATTCGAATATTAATATAGTTTCTTATAAGTAATTTAGTTTCTTTATTACTATAAACAGCATAATAATTATCCATACTGTAACATTTTTGATTAATAAATACTCTTTTAAGGAGCACCATAGGTCTAAGAAATGAGTGCTTGCCAGCCAAATCTTGACTCAAATGTATATATTACAAATAGTAAATAGCATTGGTATATTTTTCTTTTTTTAAAAAAAGCACTGTTTTAAGTCCATTTTGCTTAAATTTTATTCATGATCTTTTTTTGATTTCGATATAATGACCAGTGTCGTTATTGACAATCAAAGGTGGATGAATATAGTGACAATAGTCGTTTTTAGAGAAGAGGTTTAACCATTCAAGGTCATTATAAACGATATTCACTGTGTTTTTATTTCCGATTTGAAAAAAATATTTGCTTACTAAAAAAATTCTCTGCTTTGAAAATTTCCTAACTTTTCCAATTTTTCCAGGTCGGTGACCACCCTGAATTAAATAAACACCAAGAAAATTCATGATACATTTCCTAATCATAATTATATACATTTTAAATAGAATAAATTAGTTTATGAAACGGTATCTCCTTGAACTATATACCTTGCAAAATTTCTGATATAGCCAGCATTGTGATAAATATTTTTATCAAAAGATTAATACAATATTACTTGAGCAAGTCAGAGAAAGTAGGGCATTTTTGATCTGTAAGATATGAATGAATATTTTCATTTGTGAAATAAGAATTAATCATTAAATAAAACTTAATTTAACACTGCACATCATAATTAAACAAAGCATTAAAAACTAAAAGTGTGAATAATAAAGTAGATAAATATTTTAGTAATGTAAAATTAAAAATGTTAAGAAATGAACTTATTGAAATAAGTAACTTGAAAATAAAAATTGAAATATTTAAAAAATACCAGAATTGATGTAGAGCACTAAGACTTAGATGCTGAATTAATATCATTCAAATAATAAGTGATCAAAGTAAAGTTAACTTGAAAGAAAAATATTTAATTACAATAAATTGAAATATAAAACAGAAGATATATTAATTATGTTGAATAGGGGTCTCAAATTACTCATACTTCGGGGTAGTAAGAAATTTCATTGGCATTTAATATGGTGATATTATTCAGTAAAGTATGGTTCAATGATTTCCTCCGACCGCTGCTGAATCGTTTCTTTTCTTTTCTGCTGTTCGATGTCTTTCTTTCTGGCTCTCCCTTGCCACTTCTCAATTAGGAGTCTAAATAGACATTTTGGTAGATTTAAGACACAGAGAAATAGGATATATAGTAGGACATTCTCTTTGAGCTATCAGACTGGAGTCCCTCAAAACTGATCTGGATATTTTATTTTTCTTCTCTACTGATAGATAGCACTGCTGTCGAGCTGCACTTGACAATCTTACATAAAATAAAATTATATACAATTGTGCTCTAAACAATAGAGCATTCATTGTTTAATTTCAAATCCCCTTTTTTTGAAAAAATTATGATCTAGCTTAATTGCCTTGAAAGCTCAGATGCCTAGTTTTCTTTACAATTTAGCTATTTCAAATACGGCAGCATCTAAAATTCAAATGAACAGCCAATTCTATTAAATCAATATAAATTTTCATAAGTATAGTTAACGTCTGAGGAAAGTATCCATGTATTATTTCTAAACATGTCCGATCTTTGCCAATTTTTCATCAAATTTGATTACTAAATCATCATTTTGAAAGTTATATCTTCATCTCCAAGGTCAAAGAATAAGCACATCCCTCAAATAATTGAGAAAAAAAAATTATCTGTATATAAAAAAGTATACATTTTATTGTTAATTAAACCCATAGTAATTTTAAAGGTTTTCCTAATTCTCTACAAAATAAAATATAATAAACCAAAAAGAAAAAAAATCATCAAAATTGGACCATTATTACTGTCATTAGAATTTGTACAGTATTTTAAATAATAAAAGATTGTAATTGACCAAGAAAAAAAATCTAATTTTTCATCTCATGATATATTGCACTTATTTACTTCCATATTAATACCATTTGGTATTTAGTGTACAGATAAGAATGCCTTCTATTGAGTAGGAAGGCAACTTGAATAAGAAAAATTCAAAAGTCATGATCTAATTAAATCAGTAATGAAGGCAAAGCTGAGCATATTAGAACAGTTTTGGAAAAGTTATGGACTTTCATCACATTCACACAGTTGGGAATTACATAAATTTACTGGTTAATTAATAAATATTCAATAATTTATCATATTTAACAAATTCAGTAATTATATACAATAACCAGTGATTATACAAAATTACCAGGTTGATTATGTGTACTGTAATATATATAAATAATATGTATATCAATCGACCTTCACAGTTGCTTCAGAAGTAATTTAAAATTGTTAATTGGTAGGAAGGTATCATGGAAGATTACGCTATTGAAAGGAAGGAATAAAAAAAAAAAAAATTTGGTGAGAAAAACCTTTTTTATGAGAAAATTCATAACAAATTACATAAACATGATTCAAATTCAGCACGTATATATTATTAAAAAAGTATAACAAATAAAAATAATTCGTTGACTAGATTTGATTGAATTTTTTAAGTCTTGTAAAACTTAATTTATTACAGTAAATAATATAACTTATCAACATCGAATGAGAAAATTTATATTTTCGACTAGACAAAATCTCAATTTATCCTTAAACCATAAAAATAAAAGACTAGAAACATAACAACCAATTTTGTTAATAACTTATGAACAAAAAATAATTAAATGAAGTATATTTTTTATATTTCATCTTCATTAGGTATATAACCAAATTCTTTATAAAGATTCCAAAATAACACAAGTTCATTTGAAGATAGCTCTGGAACGTTACATTCAGGGCTGTTGGCTCGCAGTGGTCCACATGCCCAAAAACAAGTTTCATTAGTCGGTTTTTTCAGATCCTCTATTGCATAGCCCATCATGACGTCCTCTCCAAGTTTACTTTTTGCTTCGAAACGCAACTTTTTAATAGTTTCCAAAGACAAAACGTAACCTGACCCAGAAGGGAAAAGAGGATATTCACTCGAATACCTGTCTCGCCATTTTCCCGAATGATTTGGGACTTCGGACCGAAGGCAGGTCCAAAGTTCAAATTCATTTTTCAGACCTTTCTCGATGAGAGCCAGATCCAAAAACACATCATCGTCCGTCTTCAAGACATATTTCCAATGGTCCTCAATCATGACCCTGTTAAAATAAAAATATTTCTCATAACAAAATAAATAAAGGCGAGTTATTAAAAAACCCTGCATGTTTTATTTACCAAAGAAAAATGATTTCTCAACAATTATTCAATATCTTGTATTGCATTGAACATAAATTCTCATGTAATAGATAAATACAATTATTTATATTAATGAAGAGAAGAATAGTTGGGGTGATCAGTCAAATAAGAAGGCAAAAATAAATGATAATATTTATTTTGACATTTCCCGACGTTTCGACCTGAAGTTCAGGCCTTCATCAGGGCTAAGAAAAAAGAACCAGATAACAAGGTATGAGAAACATAAGCAATATCTTAATTTTACTATTTATCTTCATTTCTTATATTACTTCATATTCTTTTCTGTTTTACATTTTATTCTAAGATTTCCATTTTAATACTTATGTCACCTTTTTTGGTTATGTTTACTTCATCATTCCATACTTTGTAACGGTTATTATTATTTATCTCTTAGTTCTTACTATTGCCATTATTCTAACAACTTCATTTTGCTTTAATTTTTTACCTACACTACTTATGTTTCTCATACCTTGTTATCTGGTTCTTTTCTTAGCCCTGATGAAGGCCTGAACTTCAGATCGAAACGTCGGCAAATGTCAAAATAAATATTATCATTTATTTTTGCCTTCTTATTTCACTGATCACCCCATTCTCTTCATTATTCACGACAGTCAACTATTTACCCACAATTATTTATATTATTATAATGAATTGATTTTCGGTGGTACTACATTGAAAAATATTCGACATATGTCACGACCTTCGTTCCAATGGGTTCAAAGAGCCGAGAAAAAAAATATTTTTAATAATTTTCAACAAAATATATCCATATTTACCATAAGTCGAAAATTTAATATTTAGTAATTGATTTTCTTGAAGATTTTTTTTTTTTTTTTTTGGCAGCTAACTAAAGCATCCTCGCGCGGGCTCATTACCGCGTATGGGGAGCGTCCCACGGGTGGCGGATGTGGGGATGGTCGGTGGAAATTCCTTGGAAGTTCCTCCCGGCTAAGTCCGATGGACTCGCTGACCAACAATGAGAGGGGCCCTCCAGACTTGCTGGAGGGAGGGGACCTCCAGACTTACTGGAGGTAGGGGCCCACCAGACTTGCTGGAGGGTGTGACGTAGGATTGAACGCCCTACTCACATATCTTTAGTTCACCAAACACCACAAAAAGTCATGGATCTCCCTAAGGTAAAACGCTCATTATCCGGAGGTAAACTAGTCCCCCGTTCGGGTCTCTGGGTGGGGACTGCTTTAGGGGATTCATGCCGCAAGTTGAAATATAGGGATTTAAATATTGGTACGTGGAACGTAAGGAGTTTAAACACAGCAGGGGGCTAAAATCGGTCGCGAATGAGGTAAATGGGTACAATTTGGATGTCGTGGCTCTGCAAGAGGTTCGCTGGCCAGGAGAGGGCTCGATGAGGGAAGGGAAGTACACTATTTGGTACGGAGGAAGCGGGAATCATTGTTTAGGTACCGGGTTTCTAATTAGGAGTAGATTACTATCCGCTTTGAGGGACGTACAATTCTTTAGTGATAGAATTTCGGTAGCTACATTTCAGGGACGTTGGTTTAAAATCGCATTAATAAACATACATTGTCCGACCGAAGACAGTGACAATGAAGTCAAAAGTGAATTTTACGATAAACTCGAATGGGTTTATGATAAACTACCGCGAAACTACATGAAAATAATTGTAGGTGACGCGAACGCAAAGGTAGGAAGGGAAGAAGTTTATATTCCGACGATTGGTAAAGAAAGTTTGCACGAATATAGTAATGATAATGGGATCCGTCTGATAAACTTTGCCATCTCGAAAAACCTGATAATCAAAAGTACGACGTTTAAACATAAAGATATTCATAAATATACTTGGACATCACCGGATTCGCAAACACGAAATCAAATCGATCATGTCTTGATACAACACAGCTGGCAAAGCAGTATAATTAATGTACGGTCTTATCGCGGAGCAGAATGTGGGTCGGATCATGAATTAGTAATCGCGAAACTTCGACAAAAACTTAATATAAAAAAGAGAACAGAAAACCATTTCGATTTTGAGAATTTTAATTTGGAAAAATTAAAAAATCCATCAATTAGAAACCAATTCGAGCTAGATGTTAAGAATAGGTTTGAAGCTTTAGAGCTTCCTGACGAGGACCACGAGGATATTGACAAGTTATGGATAGAGATCAGAGATAATATTAAAGCGGTCGGTAACTCGTGTCTAGGAAAAAAGGAAAATAAGAATAACAAACCGTGGTTTGATGAAGATTGCTTAAACATGTGTGAAAAAAGAAAAGCCGCTAAATTAAAAGCTCTAAATAATCCTAGCGAAGACAATCTGGAATACTTCCGAATCTCAAAGAACGAAACGACAAAATTGCTCAAAAATAAAATAATTGAAATAGAAACTAATAGAATCGAAAATAACGTAAGAGACATGTACAAAGGTATAAACAGATCACGTAAATATGTAGGGCCCGTAACGTCTGGAATTAGGGATGATAATAACAATATTCTGACCGATCCGGTTGACATATTGAATAAATTTAAGGACCACTTTGACAATATATTAAATACGGGAAATTATGATCTGTGTCCTCCTTCTGAGTACCAGAGTGCTGAACCGTTAATAGAAGGACCAAGTAAAGAGGAAGTTGAAGTAGCTATCGGAAAATTAAAATCATATAAAGCAGCGGGAATCGATAATATTCCTACTGAACTAATTAAGGCATGCGGGGAAGCTGGAGTTTCTAAAATACATCGGTTGGTTAAAAAGATCTGGGTGAACGAGAAATTACCTGAAGAATGGAAAGAATCTATTCTTATTCCGATTCACAAAAAGGGTCCGAGGACGGATTGTAATAACTATCGAGGAATTTCACTCCTTCCGGTATGTTATAAAATATTCACTTTAATCTTAACCAGTCGAATCACGGAATACGCCGAGGAAATTATCGGAGACTACCAATGCGGATTTAGACGGAATCGTTCGACTATTGATCAAATATTTTCTTTACGGCAAATATTAGAGAAAAAATTGGAGTATAACGGTATTGTTCACCAGCTGTATATAGATTTTAAAAAGGCTTATGATTCTATTGACCGCCAGAAACTGTACAATATTCTAATCGAGCAGGGGATTCCAAAAAAACTAGTAAATCTAGTCAGGATGTGCTTGACGGAGACAGTCAATAAAGTTAGAATCGGTAATAATTTGTCCGAAAAATTTGAGGTTCGTTCGGGCTTAAAACAGGGGGATTCTCTTTCGCCTGTCCTGTTCAATTTGGCATTAGAACATGCCATTAGGGAGGTAATGCGAACCGAGAAAGGGTTGGATCTGGGCGGGACAACATCCGTGCTGGGCTATGCTGATGATCTGGTACTGTTAAGCGAAGACGTTGAAACTATAAAACTAAATACGACAACGTTAATGAAAGCCGGTAAAGAACTAGGACTCGAAATAAACGTGGATAAAACAAAATATATGGTTAGCTGCAAAAATGGCGATACTACTGGTGATATCGATATAGATGGTAATATGTTTGAACAGGTAGATAAATTTAGGTATCTAGGTTCTACGATAACTAGAAAAAACGAAATTGAAGAAGAGATTAAGGTTAGACTGAAGGCGGGGAATGCTTGTTATTTTTCTGTGACAAAACTACTTAGTTCGTGCCTCTTGTCCCGAAACTTAAAAATTAGAATCTATAAAACAATTATCTTGCCTACAGTTCTTTATGGATGCGAAACTTGGCCGCTTACATTAAGGGATGAGCAGCGTCTTAAGGTTTTTGAAAATAAAGTATTGCGTAGAATATTCGGACCGAAGAAGGATGAGTTAACCGGAGAGTTCAGACGGTTACACAACGCCGAATTGCGTGAGCTGTATCCGGGTAATATAAGTGAGGTAATTTCATCGCGGCGAATCAAATGGGCTTGTAAAGTTGTTGGGCTTAGTAACGAGAGAATTCCTAAAAGGTTAATATTTGCTGTGCCGAATGGTAAGCGTCCGAGGGGTAGACCGAAGAGAAGGTGGGAAGATTGCATTAAAGCCGATCTGAAGGGACTGGGTTTGGACGGCGAACGGTGGAGGGAGGTGTGTAACAAGCGATTGGTGGTGTCGGCATCGAACCTTCGGGTTCGCTAAGCCTTATTATTATTTATTATTATTATTAACTAAAGCATTCATAACTTCTCAGGATCTTCAATTCATCAATTCTCAGGATTCAATGTTTGTAAAACCATCGGAAAGCTGAATAATCGTAATTCCAACCCACATCTTATTTTTTTTAAAGCAAGAAATTATGAAAAACTTCGCAAACATTTTTATTTATATCTTTAGTTCTAATTTCTTCGTAGAGGTAAAGGTCTTTGTACCAAAGAGCTTTAAATGCCTGATAATTTTCATGTAAATCGGTGGAGTGGTTCTGAAGTTATCACAATTTTTGTGGTTGCTGACAGTTTCGAAGGGTCCAGTCTAGGCAAAAATTATATGCAGAAAATTTTACTTTTTTGTTTGCTAAAAAAATTTGTATTTAAAGGTTTTTTTGACGTGTGAAAAATGAATATCAGCTTCAGTTCTCCTTAAAAAAATATTTACTTCGGTTTGGTCCCATTTGTTTCCATACTGTAGCTATCAGCCAAATATATTTTTCTAAAATGGACTAGTATGTGGTACGATATTTGTTTTTCACAACTCAAAAACCTATAAATAAAAACTTTTATAGCAAATGAAAAATTAAAATTTTCTGTACAAAACTTTTGCTTAATTGGAAAAATTGGAACAAAAGAAATAAAATAAGAATGTTAGATAAGTTTTTCGTAATTTCTAGTTTAAGAAGGGATGAAATCCTAAAGTTATTGATGTAGGTTCGGAACACAGTAACTCAGCTTCCCAATGGTTATACAAACGTTGAATATAGAGAAAATCTTAAGAAGTTATAAAGGCTATAGTTAATGGCTAGAAAAAAAAAAATCTTCCACTGACTGTAACTCCTATGATGAACAATAATAAAAATAATACAATCAAAAAGGGTAAACATCATCTTCCTTTGTAGAAGGCTTTAATAATTAAATAAAAATGTCTATTGAAATAAAAGGAGAAAAATCCATACCATTTAAAAAAAGCCGAAACCTTAAAAGAAAGATTGTCATAAACATCGACAAATCCACTCAAAAACAACAGATCATTGTGCTTAATTTGCTCATCTTCCAATTGCTGTTTTATCAAGGACTTTTCAAGTGACCATCTACGAAAACGTTCCGTTCTATCTGCTAAAATTTCTCCTAAACCTTTTACATCTAAAACATAATCATATTTAGGTGAAATTTTGTACCATAAAATGATATTAAGATTTTCACATAATATTTTTAATTAATGTAAATATTATAAAATATATTGTTACAGGATATTAATAATAAACTCTAAAATATATCAATTATAAGTGACAGCAAGACCCTGACTAGAGCTGTAATGTCATTTATTAATAATAATAAGCTTTCTTGACAAAAGCCTCTCCCTAAGGAGGAATTTTAATGGAGTTGGCTACAGCACAGAAAAATATGTTTAAATTATTACAATATTTTTTTTTTAGTATTTAAAACAAAACAGATATATATATATATATATTTTTTTTTTTTTGTATAATAACCATGTAAGACCAAAGAAAAACAAAACAAAGCCATATAGTAAACAGAACAGTCTTGGAAGCACTCAGTTAATAAAAAGACAAACAGAATATAACAAAACTAAATTTTGTTTATAACTTTTTTCCATCTGTATATATCCCTAGCCACAAGCCACCAGTTTCAGCCTACATGTTGCATCATTTCATCCCGCCAACTCAGATGCGGCCGGCTTCTTTTCGTGTTGTTCTCTCTTGGGATCCACTACGTAGATGCTTTGGACCATCTTTCATCCTTCAACCTCGCCATATGTCCAGCCCAGTTCCACTTTAACCGATGAGCTTCAGCCCTTAAGCTTTTAATATCCACTTTTTGGAGAATGTCTTTATTTCTTGTCTTTTCTCTCTTCTTAATTGACATTAAACTCCTTAAAAGCTTCATCTGCATAACGTTCAATTACATTTAGTTAGTAATGAATAATAACCAAAGTATATGTACAACTGATAATTTCTAAAATATTATTCTGATATTATATCCATACCGACTATTTTATAAATACTAGTAAAAGTAAAATCTTCAAATTTAAAAATATAAATAAAAGCTTCTGTCTTGCTAAAGAAATTTATCAAGTTTTTAATGTTGATTAAAACCAAGGACTGAAGGATTGGATAAGAACATTTGTCTTAACAGATATCGGGCAGAAGAAGCAGAATAATTAAATTTATTTGTATTCAATAAAGCACTAATCAATGTAATTAAACTTTTTCTAAAAAAAATACTATAAATTTCTTATACAACAAAGGATGAAAGACACCAAAAACAGACTAAGGATTGAATTCTTACAAATGAGGTGTATACTAAAAAAAATGGATGACACTAAATTCTAATATATAGCGAAAAATCTAAAAAAAAAAAAGATTAACATTGAAACAATAAAGTTCTGAAAACGAGATTTGCCTTATTTAGAGATTTGTGTTTTATTGTGGAAATTAACTTTATGGTAAATATTTCTTTTTTTTGTTCTTCTATTCCTAGCCTTTTAGGCTATATGCAGTTTAAAGTCATCCCGGAACTGGAATGCGAACTCCTAATTATTTTTTACTCTACAACTCTGTAAGGTTTCCGGGTAACGTGCGGTTCTGCGCACACGCGTTAGCCCGCTCGGCCATCCTGTTCCCTGGTAAATATTTACTTTAACCATATAATAAACTTTACAAAAATGGATCTAGAAAAAAATGGAGTCATTCATTTTTTGTTAGTTATATCATAGGCGTAAACTTCCAATTCTGGTTTGGGGCATGATGGATCACTCCTCTTTCCCCTCCATAAAGTCTAGGGAGTTTATATCATGTAGAAAAGTAATGAGTGATAATTAATATAATTATTGAAAAACAAATAATTTAATTCTAAATATAAAAATCAATTCAATTTTTTTTTGTATGGATATATTTGAAAATATGTTAAGAAAGCAATTGAATATATTATATATTTTTATTGTTATCCAAAGTTTTGAGGCAGTGAGACGAACTCTCAATTATCCAATGGTTCAAATGTGCCAAAGGAAAGGCGATAAAATCTTTACAAAAAAATAGAAGGATGCACAGGAATGAATCATAAAAAACTAGTGTACATAATTACATATAATAATTTCGGAATATAAAATAAAATTTCAATTATAGGCCTGGTGAAATACATGCATACCTACTTCTAGGCATTAACTTAGTCATCTAGCCGACTTTTCCCTTTTTCTTAATTAATTTTAGTTTATATCTTTTATCTATTCGCATGCATTAATTGTTATTGATTTTTATTTTATTTTTTCAAAATATTGGGTGAGGGAGGGGGGAGAGAACACTGAAGTCTGCGCCTATGAGTTCTACTATAATAATAGAAGATAGATAGAGCCACTAACAGCTAGGGTCAAACCCAAAGTAAAATAATGGCGAGGAGCATTCCCTCTCAATATATCATGGGTTATATATTTTTAAAATAATATTAATATATGAATAAAGGTGTTGTGAAACACTGTAACAATAAATAATTGTTATACTTAAAATGTTTTTTTCACCCTTACCCTAGAGACGATAAGTTATTCTTTTATAAGGTTATTGGCGATAAGTTATTCATTTATAATCTATTATAATATTTTGTTTCCTTTAGATAGAATAGATATTGAAACAGTTTTAGTCAATTATAATATTTTGTTTCGTTTCTACTGAATAGATTGTTATACAGAAAAAGAGTAGTAATTCTCTCTTCACTGTCTAGTCAGATTTTTATTGATAATTTTAACTTGTCTCTAACTGTTTCAAATTGGGAACAACCTTGTAATAAGTGCTTGATGGTCTGCAGTGATCAATCTAAAGTTAGCACAATATAATTACTTCTCTCCTTGAATTTCTTGTGCTTATGATGCATTTGTTCCACCCCATTTATATTTCTAGTAGGAATGTTTTATCCTCTAACTACTTTCCCAGTTTTCTACCAGATTTTTCTTTGACTAGAGTATCCAATTCTCTAATGTGATATCTTTTATGGGAGTTATGCTTAATATCTTTTGAAAATTACTTATTAATGATAGCGTAATTTAATAATAATTACTTGAGTAAAGTTTAAAATTAATCATAACTCTAGTAAAGCTTATAATATTTTTCATGTATGACAGTGATTCATAACAGTCTTATTGCCTTATTTCCATAAGGAATTTTGCTAATCCAATTAAAAATCAATTATCTAATTTTAGGTTGATACCCCTGAAAGTAGGTCTGGATAGAAAAAGATATAAAATAAAACTAATTCATTTTTCAATTTAAGACAAAAAAAACAAAACAATCACAGACACAACGAAAATGAACAAACTTATGGTAGTGCATATGAAGCTGTATTAAATAGGATAAATAGCTTAATACTCCAAAATACTGACAATTAATTTCATTGAAACACAGTAAAACAATAGTAATTGTTATAGATTTCTAACTTATATTAGGTTAATTTCAATGATTTTAAAACAAAAATCCACTTCACATCTTCAATTTCTATTTTATTAAATTAACTGTTTATCTGAGTTGCATATTTAACTCAATATAGTACTTTTTTATTTTTTAAATTTATTTAAACAATTACCAAGAAATATATGAATTGAGCATATTTTCATATATGTATTTATAAAATCAACAGATTTACAAAAGTTAAATATGAAATGTATACCTGACTGACATCTATCGCCCTTACACAGAAGCATTAAATACATTCCTATGATATATTTTTTAAATATTAGACATGCTTTTACTGCAAAATCAATAACATCTAAAAGAGACAAATAAATATACAAAATAACGTTACTATCAACTAGCTGATATACCTTTCAAAGTATAGTTAAAGCCCACTAGTGTCGAACGCCAGTTGCCTAATTTGAAATCAACATATTTATCATGCTCATCGATGGTTTCGAAGTAGTAAACAGGTGCTATATACTGGAGCCGATGGGCACAATAGATATTACCAATGTCGCTACTGATCACTTTTAGTTCTCCCTCAAAACCTTCGTCTAGAATTATGGGCAAAACTGATTTCCAGAAAATACCTGAAGAAACAAGATATTTACAGGGTTAATATTGAGGTATTATTGTTAAGTTAAAACAGTTATTTTATTTAACATGCAGTAAGCAAACCAATACATTTAGAACTCTCTCTACAGGTTTGAGGATGTCACATGCCATGCTAATATAGTATCTTATACCATTTAATGGTTCTTTTACAAATGTTGCCGAAGCAACTCTGCTGCCTAATCTACTATCGTAAAGCACAACTCGAGCTCTTTCACTTGAGTTTCCTTTGAATATTTGATAATCCAACCCAATTTTATTAATTATGATTCCAGTTTTGACAAGGAATGTAAATCCAATATCACAAGATGCTTCTTCGATTGGATCACCCATTGTAGAGAACTCTTCAGATTCTAAAATAATATGACAAATAAAAAAAAAAAACAAAGACATTTTTTAAAATGGCATAAAATCTACATCTGTATCACCTGGAGGATGATTAATTAGCCATAAATCGCAACCAAAAGGTGTGATTCGATCTTTAACAGGATAAGGACAAACTTCATCACCTATCAAAAATTTCAATTCAATAGACCTGTTTTTAGTAAGCTGTCCCCAAGTCTCTCTTATTACTTTTCTTGCTCTAAAGTTATATTGAGCTGACAGTACGCCTACCAGTAGTGTTGCTTTTTTGGTTTCATCGAAAACTGAGAACAAACCGTCATTTAATATAATGATGTAATGTAATAATTCATTAGTTTGTTTATTTATCTAACTACTGAAAATTTCTCACAAATACCAAAATTATTACCAAGGACATCACTGGATACAGAAGTGAAAACAAATAACATTACATCATCATATTTAGCAATAATGGATACTATCAAAATGAAAAGGCCCACATAATAAATAAACATTTTCAAGACAGTTAAGAAATCAAGGGATGGAAAATTCAAAATTAACGATTGAATGGAAGGAACAATTAAATCACAATATATTACAATCCTAATTTCAGTTGAGTGACAGTAAATTCACATCAAACTAAATTTTACCGGCATTTTTTATCAGTAGATCATGAACGAGTCAGTCAAATAAATTGTAACCAATACGCATGTAGATATAATAAAGTTTCTTTGAAAATAATACATTGTAACTTAATGAATAAACTAAACCGTGAACATTTTTTTTTTTATAAAAGTATTTATTTACCTGCAATAAATATTCAATATAAAGTTTAGGTGTCTACTATATTATAACTAACTATAGTTTTCATGAAAACTTAGTTAATATTTTATAGTGCATATTTTGTTTAAATTCGAAGTTCATGTAAAGTTTTAGTTAATTGTAATTAGCACATTTCATTAATCCACTAAAGTTCCATTTTATTCATACTGGAGGCTATTTTATTTTTATATATAATTAATATGGTTTTATTTATAACTAACAACGGTGCAATTAATAACATCACAAACAGCAATGATGTAAAAAACAGAATAATTTGATTTTGTTAACTGATACATATAATAGAAAATTGAATTTTAAAATTTCACTTTAGCATAAACGGTTTGATTATTATTTAGTGTTTCTTCTTTGAGACTTGAAACTGGGTAATTGGGGAGAGAACAGAGCAAAATTGGATATTTAAATGGAAAAAAATTATACAAATTTAAGCTAAAGTAGAATTCAAGTGTTAAATAATGTATATAAGACTAATATTGCACTTTTAAATTATAAAAGTTCATATTCACCTAAAAACTTCAAATAACAGTGGTGTGGTAGGGACTAGTGATGTGCCCTATGCCCACTGTAGATTAACACATTCGGCTGCCGAATACTATGCTACTAAAGAGTCTGTAAGCTCTAATTGATTGACATGCGTTCACGAAACCTAATATAATACATCTCGAACTGAATATTTGTATTCGGAGACAACGAGGCTAGAGAAAAAACGAAAAGATATATTTGGGAGGAAATTTTGAAGCTGAAAACGGTATTGTAAGTTAAAAAGTAAAAGACACTCAACGGTATGAGATAGGCATAGGCATGACATGACATAATGGTCTCCAATGTTGTGACGTAGCTCATCACCCCACCACTTTTCTTTAACGCTAATTAAATATGGGATTTTGGGCGTTTTTTGTTGTTGTTATAACCTAATTTTCAAAGACGAATAAAAATTGAAAATTCTTGCAAGTACTCAATTTTAAATTATGAAAAAAGGAAGCATAAATACGAAAAGTTTAACTAAGTATTTGTTTAATATTAAGGTACCATTTTATGAGGTATGTATTAATCCTCGATTTTTTCGTTGAAAATACACTTATAATTCTTATGCATAAATATTGGAGCTGAGAAATTAAAAAAAAAAATACATTATTTCATCAATGGTTTATTTAAAATAATGTAAAACTACTTAATAAAACGCAATTACCTAGTTTAAATTTCACTACTAGACATTTCGAAGTGATATTTATCTTTTCGAAAGTAGGAATAGCAGAATCACGTAAGTAAAAAAGAAACGACTACTTGTTTTTATTACTTATTTCTTATAATTGAAACAAGTTGTATAATGTATTTATTGTAGAGTCAGATGACGACATTTAAGTTTCAGACTCTTCCTCTATAATTAATGACCTATCACGAATCTGCAGAGTTGGAAGTGAAGATTATACTGAATAGCGCATAGAAAAAAAATTATATATGCTTGAATAAAATTTCCGAATTTCAAGTAATTTATTAATTTATTTTTTACACAAAAAAAATAAGAAATTATCAAACAATAAATCTGTCGTTCAAATTCGAACGAAAATCATAGAATGTTGGACATTGTTTTATTTTTATTTTTTATTTTTTATAGAAATTTATGTCTGTATTAAATAAAATACAACCAGAAAATTTGGACAAAAAAACAATAATGATGTGAATAGAATAGACGTTCATAAGTAAGTAACAACTTACGGAATAAGTTTATTCCAAGCACAGGTGGAGCTACGAGGGAGTCTCAGCCTTTCGGGCTGAAGCCACCCAAAATGTTAAAATAAAATCATGTCTTAAAAAAAAAGTATTAAAAAATTATCACATAAAGTATTGTTGTTCGTGTTAATACATTTAATAGGACTTCAAGAATCATTTAAACACCATTTCATCTAGGTATTAATTTCTTTATTTTATTCTTAAATTTATTATCGTTGTGTATTTATAAAAAATGCTTTTGGGCTGAAGTTCCCCCGCAAAATTAAATCCTAGATCCGGTAGTGATCCCAAGACCATATTCTGGAATCGAGGAGGAAACAAGTAGGTTCCGATGGATTTATAATTTTATAATTAAAGAAAAGGTATTAGGATCGGATAAAAAAAATAAATAAAAATCACAATTTAAGTTTCATTTTTTCTTATGTCTTATTTTAGTAGAATCGATTATTTAAAAGTACTTTTAATGTCTGAGAAATAAATTACATTGTAAGTAGTTGAATTTTCAGTACTATAGATTTTTTAAATCAGAAATTTGCTTGTTTAGGGTTTTAGAGGAAGATTTCAAACACATAAGTTTTAAAATTGTCAATGTATCGCAAATTCAAGTATCATCAAGACAGAAATAAACTATTATGTTGACCATTTACAACACATCCGACATCAATAGTCCTAAAAGACATAGTAAATAGAGGTAGTTTAAAATAATTTTGCCTCAATTTAATAATCTAGGGTTATACCAGGTTATTTGAGTTTGGGAGCATTGAGGGCTATGTCAAAATCCAATTTGACAAAATAATAAGTTATTACTCGAGCCCCTCGCATAACAAGCAATCCAGTCACTAGGTGCTAATGAGGAAAGAGGAACGAAACAGTTAAGAACTGCTAGAAAGTGATAATTGGGTTGAACAAGTTACGGCCGGCGATGTGTGTAGCGGAAGCTAGACGCTCAGATACACAACGGGACAATGGTCAGATGCCTTCGTCACTTAATAATCAGTTTCTTGCTCTTCGGAGTTTGCCAAGGGGACGCAACCCTCCAGAGGAAGAAGCGGTGGCTGGTTTTCCCGAAAGGAAGCTCTCTCCAGGTAATTGTTTATTTGAATCTCGGGATTATATAAAAAATATATTATAAAAAAACACGGGCGGATCTACGGGGGGAGGGGGCTTTCGGGCTGAAGCCCCCCCCAAAATGGTAAAATATAACCATGTTTTATCGGAAAAAATACTAAAAAATTATCTCTTAAAGTATAATTATGCGTGAAATTACATTTAAAAGACCTTTAGGAATCACTTAAACACCAGTTCGAATAGGTACTTAGTTTCTTTCGTATTTTCCAAAGTAATTATCGTTACTTTTATGAAAAAAAAAGCTTTCGGGCTGAAGCCCCTCCCCCCAAAATTAAATCCTGGATCCGCTAGTGTAAAAAAATTATAACATAATTTGTTCTATTAAGGTACACACAAATTGGATTTGTATTTATATTTCTTTATATTGGCATGGAGACCATCTAGATAATAATCCGCATTATCTCTGAAATTTTAATTAAAATCAAATTTATGGTATTAATAATCGTCGTATGACTACGGGCTGACAGACAAGAAACCGAATTTGTAATTTCATGTCAAAAAAAATAATAAACGCGTAGCAACCAGTACAGCTCAGGAAGTATAGTTTCTTGTTTAACTGTTAGAAATGAAGGGGATTTGACCTAGATCACGATCAACAGGCAGGTCCTTGTAATTAAACATTAAATTTATAAAGGCTTAGTGTGCCACAGAAGGGTCCTACGTCCTCAGGTTCGAGAGCGCCATGATTCTGAGCATAGAGGTTCAATGCCTTACGCACTAAGCTACTTCACTCTCTTATAATGCAAAAACTATAACATTGCGAGAACGAAATTCTGATAATACTTTTTTTTTTTTTTAAATTCCACAATGAATAAAATTTCGTTATTTTCGGTAGTCCTTTCAGACCCACGCTAAAGAAAAGAAATAATTTAAAATTTTTTTTTCATTGGTCCATATTTGCTTAAATGGGTCCTGAGAGCTAAATATTTAAACAATCATAATTTATTCTCTTTTTAAATAAAATCGCATGTACTTCAAATTGTATATGTAAGCAGTGATTCCGCTGTTGTTCAGTAACGAGAAAGCAAAACCATATAACGTTCCACGTTCATATTACGTATAACACTTTTGGATATTTTATTGAATACGTTAATACGTCTTGTTAGGATGGTCATCTCGGAAAGAGAAAGTCTCCTAATTTGTCTTGTAGTTTTGAGGACAATACACCCTCGCCAATGCAACTAACTTGCTAATAACATGTTCCCGTAATAACTGGTTGAGCAACCATCTTTCAGGAATAAACTTATTTTCCGCTAGTTTTCTCTAGGCACGAAACTAAAGAATAATAATGCCTCGAAGGAGGTTATCTAGAAACTATGGTAGCATTTGTTTGAGACCACGATCATATTCATCAAACATGCCAATGGCCTAAAGAAGTGATCATTGAAATTAATAGAACATAATCGTTTTTGGATGTTGATAATTTCCAACGATACTTAAAAATCACCTCCATTAGTAATAATATTGTTTTGGCAAATGAGTACTTTTGATTTTTATGTCACTACAATAAAACATCTGGCTGACGAATTAATTCCTAAGGCGAGTTCTTTATCCTATTCGTAACATATCTACTACCATTTCTATAAATTGTTGTTAGATTCGTATTGTGTTTGCTATTGTACAGTTAGTCAGTGGTACAGACCCCTTTTTATCGAATTGTTAACATCCGCCTGAAACTTGGTAAATAGTTTCATCTCATCGTAACCTACAACTATTTTATTTACGAAAACTATTGTAATTGGCACGTTTTCAATCTGAAGGGGGGCAAACTTTGTCAATTTAATTAGGTACTAAAAACTCGTAAATACACATTTGCTTCCTACTTGGAGCGTAAGATAATTTGATAGCAAAATAGAGAAAAAAGGCAACCTTCAAAAATATTACGCCGTTTGGCTAGACCTAAACCTCCAAAATTTCAAAATAACAAGGTCATATAGGTCAAACGGCCCAATATTTTTGTAG